CCCTCCAGTAGCATACAGTTGTCCACTGAGAACACCAACGCCTGCCAAGCAGAAGACAGAGTCATCCAGACTCAGACGGGAAGACATTTCATATCCTTCACACCGCGAATGTAATTTTTTACTAGACCGGTCTAGCGTGCTAGGTTAGTTCTGTCCATAACGTGGACAACCCCTTGAGAAAGAGGGAGTGGGGAGGTTGGTTTCCTGGACACCTCCCTTCCTATTCGTGATGGTGAAACAGCATGACAGCAGCTACAATCGTTCTGTACATGAGCAGCCATGCTTGGAAGGAATTTGATGCGGAGTTATCTCTCTCCCTCATGTGCATTTGCCTTTTTCAAATTCAGGTTAATCCCATTGTTTAGTTTTGCTCTTTATTTCTTCCCCTTTCTCCCAGCTGTTCTGTTTCCCCAGCTTCTCTGTCTGCTGGTCTCCTCCACATCTTTGTCCTGGCCTTCCTGTACTTGGTTCCCTTCTCCCTCTTCTGGTCACCATGCCTCAGTTAATGAGACCTTGTCTCCCCCTCTTCTCCTATGCACACTACGTGGATGCTTTCTTCTCTTTTCCCCGGAGCCAGCGCTAGGCATAAGCAGAAGTGATTGCTTACAGACACAGGAAGCAAAAGGGGGGGCCCGTTCACTTTGTATTGGGCGAGAGACTAACCGGACTGTGAATGTGAAGAGCAAAAGCAAGACACAAACACCTCATCAGAGAGGGGTGGCCATGCTGTCCCTGACCTACCAACATAATTTCTGGCCTCAATTTTAGCCAAGACCAAGTGGTCCTCATTCATGCCCCAGGCCCTGCTAAGCACTGGGTATAACTTGGGCCACTCCAGGGAGTCAAAAGAAAGCAAAGATGGATGTCAGGAGCCAAACAAAACTGCCATAGGCCACGGCAATGTACTATTCCACTCAACCTGGAATTTGGCCTAATGTTGCTCATAGGTTTGTTTCTTCGACAGAGTGTAATTCCTGTGTATCCGGCCCAGGACATGCCTTTAAAAAGTTGGTTAGATTAATATATATGGAGACTAAAAATGTAAAAGCTAGAAATGTCCCAACTAGCCTAAAACAGCCTCTGCACCTGTAATGCCTGTAGGCTTCCTTCTGTATCAATGCAGGTCACATCAGATCCAAAGAGAGGACAACCCCTTCAGGAAGCAAAGGGGTTCTTTTCTCTTGGTCTAGCACACAGAAAGAGGCCAGTCAATACATTGCCAGAATACATGTATTTTTTTTAGCCTGAATAGGGCCTGCAGCTAGCAATCAGAGTTCAACTGCAACTATCCCCGTATGCAGAAACACATGTTTTCCTGAGAACATTAGATGGCAGCATTGAGCTAAGGATGCCAGAGGCACTGAATGTTGTTTTATTTATTGGAGTGGTGTTGTACCAATCGTCGCTTTTTATTGCTCTAAGTTGTTGATTCCATTACTGGCATTTTCCCCTGAGAAGAGGAAAATTCACGGCCTGTTTTGATAACTGCCATAATCTGCTGCAACTCGTATCCAGTTGAGGAAAAGAAAATGAGCAGCAGCATTTGGCAGGCAAGTGAGAGCATGCTCAGAATATTAGAGAGAGTATTTCGTCCTCTGAGATTTGTATTAGAAATACTTACAAAGCAGTCAGTTTAATAAGGACACTTCACCAGAAGCCGAGATTCATTATTACCAGAATACACAAGGAATGTCAAATGCACATTGCCACAGACTGACAATGGGGAATATTCATTCTACTTCCCTGTAACACAGAGTGAGACAGGTTCAGTGAGCCTGCATAGAGATGTAAAGGTCTTCTGCTGACTGACCCCGATTTCAGACCATGTGGGCCCCATTAACTCCATCCTAGGAGCATTAAAGGGCTGGCATGTCAGAGACAAGCATAATTAGAAGCAGGAGCAGAGAGAGGTCCCAAAGAGAAGAGTGCTATGAACAATGATGGAGAATGTAGCACATACACCTCAGAGACAATTATTTTAGCTAGTAGTAAAGGCAATCCCCAAAAGAAAGGGTTTGATTTTGGGTCCTAGTTTTCAGTGGAGGGAGCAAGGTGGGAAACAGCATCTTCTAACAGTTTTCACTATGTTTACATTTAGCATGAGTGAGTTTCCACTGTGCATGTTACACTAGAATGATAAAACTTCTACAGTCTCAGAGGGGTAGCCGTGTTAGCCTGTAACTTTAAAAAACCCAAAAACCAAGTAGTCCTGACTCAGGAAAAGCATTGCAGTGAATTGTCAGTAGCGTAAAGCCACATGACGATCCAGTAGCAGTCAAGAATGGAACTTCTTGTTCCCTGTCTTGTCTACAATCCTCTGGCCTGCCCACTCATTAAAAACTGGGTCAAGCTGGAGCACTCAAACTGGGAATAAACAAAACACCTACAGGACAAGAAATGAAGCCCACGGGACAAGAAATGAAGTAGTGGAAGATGCTAGTCACAGTGTAGTCAGAGCTTGGTTTTCCGGTCCCAGGGTGAGTCTGCAGTGCTGGCAATTAGAAAAGTTGTCCTTTTACCATACGGACAAGGGAAGTTTGATATGGAAGCAATTCAGAGACAACAGACATGATGCCATTTCTCAGAGTCACTGTTCAAAGCAGAGAGTAATTTTAAACTGGGGGAGGGGGGTGGTATTTAATCCAGTCACGGGAGCAATTGCAAGCTTCCAAATCACCAAGATCCACTTCACTACTCAGAATTAGCAAACACAAGAAGAGACCGTCTTCATTTCCTCACCATGCAGTGACAGAGAATAAAAGCGGGATGTGTATGAATCAAACACTTCTGAGAAACAGGAAAGAGAGATTTGTTTAAATAAATACCTGCACCACTGCGGCGAGTGCTCATATCAGCTACGTAGGTCCATTCATTTGTAGCTGGATTATACTGTTCAACTGTACTAAGGCACTGACGTGATGCTCCATCATAACCCCCTACAGCATACAGTTTACCTACAAGAAACAAACACAGCACAGGCTAATCAGAGAAAAATGGGTGCATTCAATATCTGATAATAGGTTTACATTGATATCAATCACCTGTAGACAAAAACACTCAAGAAGCTGATTGAGGAAATATCTTAGCCATTAAGCTCTTATCTTTGAAAAGTCAGGGGAGATGGGAGAGATTCTAGAAGACTGAAGAAGGGCAAATATAGTACCCATCTATAAAAAAGGAAATAAGGACAACCCAGGAAACTACAGACTAGTCAGCTTTTCTGTGCCAGGAAAGATAATGGAGCAAATAATTAAGGAATCCATTTGCAAATATCTAGAAGATAATAAGGTGATAAGTAACAGTCAGCATGGATTTGTCAAGAACACATCATGTCAAATCAACCCGATAGCTTTTTTTGATAGGATAACAAGCCTTATGGTTAAGGGGGAAGCGGTAGATGTGGTACACCTAGACTTTAGTGAAGCATTGGATACAGTTTTACATGACTCTCTCATTAATCAACTAGGGAAACACAACCTAGATGGGGCTATGATAGGCTGGGTGCATAACTGGTTGGATAATCATTCCTAGAGAATAGTTATCAATGGTTCACAGTCATGCTGGAAGGGCATAACAAGCAGGGCTGGTTCCACAGGGATCAGTTTTGGGACCAGATCTGTTCAATATCTTCATCAACGATTTAGGTAATAGCATAGAGAGTACCCTAATAAAGATTACAGATGATACCAAGATAGGAGAGATTGCAAGTGCTTCAGTTTTTCTCCTCCTCTGCCCCCTGTTTTGAAAAAGAAATTATTTCCATTCCATTCCCACTTACTGGCCAAACCAGCCCATTTGCAATCCCAGGAATTGGGAGTTTGTAACCTACGGGAGCTAATTCCACCAAGCAATTGGCACATACTGTACTAACGGGAGACAACTACAACCCACTGCAATTACAGCTGCCTAATAAAAACACCACCAACAAGTTCAGAGGTGATTTTGCAAACCACAAAATGGAAAGAAATTCATATTCTAAAGCAATTGTTCCCCTGAATCCTAAGAAAGATAAAATAAAATCAACCCACTTGGCACCAGATCTCAGGAGTTTCATACTAATGTGTTCATGCTGGTAGCTATTTCACCAAATGCAATTGCCCTCTCTTCTTGTCTGCACCATCCCTGAGCTGACTTAGTACCGAAATTTGTTACTGTAAATTCCCCATGTACGCACAACATAGGATGGGCAATGCCACAGCTGAGTACGATACAGACTCAGAACCTTATGAATTTGTTGGCGGTATGTAATCCCACTGAAGTGCCAGGGTTTTAATTGTGTTTTGGCCCTTGTCTTTGAAGGAAGATTTTTAAGTGTCACCTTCTTGTGGTTGCCATTATCTATCACAGTAATTGTTGATGACCACCACAGAAACACCCCTACATATCCTTTTTCACCAGCCAGAGATGTCCCACACAATGTTAGTGTCCCACCACAAAACTGAGAAGACCCCATGCAAAGCAGGAGAGATGACCAGCTCCTGTTGGCTTCCACGTTAGTATCAAGATTTCGTTCCATGTAGCGTGGATGGCAAAAGATACAATTTTCTCGCACAACAAAGAGCACATAGAAAGCTGCAGAATTGAGTCACGTAAAAATAAAATCTTTACAAATAAGCCAACTATCTAGAAGGTAGCTGTTAGAAGCTGGCTTGGCTTGTTATTGTGCTCATCTGGCAGCAAGTTGCTGCAGGGATCATCTGAAGAACAGCTCCTGCCCTCTTTGCTGCAGGATCGCTTAGAATTTAAACAATTGTGCTTTCGCTGTAAACAGTAATACTTCAGTGATGGAAATGGCTGCTATTATTCTTACCCTCCACAACGCCAACTCCAACACTGCTTCTTCTTGTGTTCATGGGAGCCACAAAAAACCACTCATTGGTTTTATAGCTATAGGCCTCTACTGATGCCAGACCTAGGTGAAAAGGGGATACAGAAGGTTTCTATTTAAAAGGATAATTAGCATTATATTGTTCTCCCCCCTTAGGAAACCCATCTTTCCTGTGACCCAGACTAAAGCTTCCTGCAGTTATCAATTCCCTCCCCACTCCCCCATGGCAGTTGCATGGCCATTTTCCTTCCACACACGGGAAAACCGCTTGATAACTTCCCATCAGTGCTCTTCCTTCTGCAGCCAGGAGGATTCCTATTGAGCCTTACCAGAAGATTTCCTGTCCTGGTGCTGCTGCCACTTCCACTGTGGTGGGAATAAGAGACTGGATCTGGGGCCTAGATCCAGAACTCCTCCACTGGGATAGCCCAACAGCAAACGTCCTTTCAAGCAGCATTAAATTCAGTGCAATGCAAAGATTTTTAGAACTGCCTCTGAGCCCCTTGAGGTTTGCTCATAACAAGCTTGTAAAGGTAACTGGGAGCGTGTCTACACTGAAAAATTATACAAGCCTGAGCTACAGTGTGAACTGAAAGCATTCTGGTGATATTGGGTGTAACACCAGGCAGACACTCTTATTCTGATACGAGAGTCCTTTGGTATGGCTTATGTTTCATCTGTAGAAGTTTTAAAAGTCCAAGTGCCCACAGAGGGAGTTACACCAATATATCAGAGTACCTGTACCAGTGTAACTGGTAAAGATCTGTGTAGACAAGCCCTTTGGGAAGGGCGGAGGTAGTTTTGCCTAAACACCCAAAATCTGCATGGTTATCTGAACTTTCTGAAGCACACAGGTCTCAGCTGGAAATACAGCAAAACCAGTCTCCTGCAGTAACTCTGGTATTTTCCCTTCCAGTCCTGGGCAGAACCTGGAAGCACTGAAGTGTGCAAAATAGAAGGACAAGGAAGGATGCGGGAGAAGTGACAAGCAAATATTTCACCTTGACACAAAGTGCAGAGACGGCTTTTGTTTAATCCAAACCAGTTCACCCATCTCCATTTAAAATCATATGAAACTATGGTCCATCTTGGGTCTAAATTAGAGCTGGCTAAATACTTCAGAACACTTCTATATTAGAGTTCATTCAAATTCTTAAATAAGGCTGCTCTGGCTGCATTTGTGATTACTTTCCATGTATATTCTTACTGAACGGTTTACTGGAAAAAACATTTGCCTAAAAAACTTTAATTGACTACTAGAGAATAGTATCAGAGGGGTAGCCATGTTAGTCTGAATCTGCATAAACAACGAGAAATCCTGACATGCATCTGACGAAGTGGGTCTTTGTCCACAAAAGCTTATGCTCCAATAAAGCTGTTAGTCTATAAGGTGCCACAGGACTTCTCATTGTTTATATTAGAGAATAGTTCCAGAAAGCCAATTTCAAATTCATATTTACACCAGAAAACTGGTTCTAAGATACATTTTAATCTAACCTAATCAGGAAAGAGAAACAATACTACATGACCTTTGGCAACCAGACGAGCCAACACAATTGAAACTTTAAATATAAAATAATGGCATTTAAACAGCTCACCTGCAAATTACAGCTCAGGAAATGCTTGCAAAGAGCTCTGCAAGCAGAATTTCAGAACACTTAATACATTCAAAAGAAAAAAAAGAGGTGGAGTTTTTAGAAGCGAACTATTTGCTCAGCTGTAGTTTGAACCATTCAAGCATGACCGGCAAAATAAACGTAATTATTTTTTCATGTCAAAAAAGGCAACAGTAATAATGCCTACGTTAGCGACACTTTCCAACAGTGCCTCTGAAACAAGCACTTGAAAAATATCCCCATGGTCCCCAATCCCATCTTCTTCAATAACCATATCTACTAGTGAATCAGGTGTTCCTTCTCCTGTGGATGGTCACTTAAAGCAAATGACTTGCTTTACAATAGCAAGATCACTACAAAAAAGATGTTTGCTATGGAAACATTTCCTTTTACAGTGTCAGATTCTTGTAGAATAGATTTTTACTGGCTAGAGGGGGAAAAAAATAAGCACAAGACTTCCAACACAATGCTAGAATTACGGGTGTAGAGAACCAGTCAGGACTAACTGCTGGTTTCTACTGTGAGGGAATTTGCCATTTGATGATTGCACTTCCACAGAGAACACAGGATGAGTACAATACCAATTCATTTGGCTGCCTGGCTTTTGTGCAGTAACATACCAGTGCTTCCGTCAAATCCGCCCACCGCATACAGGAGCTCATTCAGCACAGCTGCCCCCAAAGTACTTCGTCGCTCCTGCATGCTGGCAATTGACGTCCATTGGTCCTTCACACCGTCATACACGTCTACCGTTCGTACTCTCAGCGAGCCGTTAAACCCCCCAACGGCATAAACGTTGCCTGCCATAAACACCACACCTGTCACAAGGGGAGAGAGACGTGAGTCTCCGCATTAGGTTTAGAGATCAGACCACACCTACAGGTAGATTGGAGAAGAGATACTTTGTTGGAACTTCTAAGAGAGAAGGGATAAATAGGACATTTGCAACTGTTTTGCATTGACTTGCACTGTATAACCATCGGAGCTAAACAAGACAGAACGTCCAGATTAATAGGGAAAATAATGCACATAACACACATACAGAATATTATCCCAGGGAAACATGCTCATTCCACGCTAGGTGAGAGACCCAGATAAAGTCAAGAGGCCTCAAAGGGAGAGAAACAAGTGTGGATCTGGGGGCCATTTCTGGATGCTGGATTATAGGGTCAGTCAGATCTGCAAGAAGGTACAAGCTTCAATGCCACATATATCCCTATAGCAGAGGTGAGGTAAGTGACTAGTCAACTACCCGATAAGCATATGCTTACTGGGTAGTCAAGTAGTGACTCGACTAGCCGCTTCCCCCTCCCCTTGGTGCCTCTATCAGAGAATGGCAGCAAGGGAGGAGAGAGCAGGAGCCGGTACAGGGGGGAGCCAGCTTAAAAGCCGGTTACCCCCGCACCATCTCTGCAGGGGAGGCAGAGGCACAGCGGGGGGGACTGGGTGCGAACCAGTAATCAGCTGATTCCCGGCTTGCACCAGGTCCCAGACACTTTGCCTCTGCTTTTTAAATGTATTAAGAGCCGACAGGAATCAACTTTTAAACTACACCTCTGCTTTTTAAATACATTAAGAAACTGGCAGCTCTTAATATATTTAAAAGGCAGAGCCGCAGCGGGGTTAGCTCCTGGGCTAAGAGCTAACCTCACTGCAGTTCTGCAGTGCTCTCCCTTGTCTACTAATCAAGTAGTCGATTAGCTGATTAAACGCAATTTAACATCCCTACTCTGCTAGGAAAAATTCCATCTATTTCAAACTGCAAATCCAGTAGGAACATTAAAGGTTAACCAATAAACATATACCCACAGGCATGCTTACTGCCTAACAGGTTAACTGGAGGGCCTCCCCTACCATGGCGGCTCAGCCGAGAGGACCCTGACAATGACGGGGTGGAGCAGTGCCTAGCCCACGAGGCTGGAGCAGCCCTATCACCCACAACCAGTGGTTAACTGGTTAAACAAATTGCATAACTGGTTAACTATTCTCAGCGGTTTTTACATTCCTAAAATCCAGTGAATGATCTCTGCTCCTGGCTCTTTCCAGAAAAGACAGCAGGGAAAGTGGGCTCCCACTGTGAAGCCAGGCCTGGGGCGACGGAAGGAGAGAGTGGGGAGCAATGTGGCTTTGTGGCCATTTGAGGGAGTGAAGTCTTCTCCTGGCCCATGGGGGGAGGCAGAGGAAGGAGGGCAGAGCTGTTGGTGACTGGTAACAGAGAGGGGCTGGACACACTTCAGTCTCCTAAAGAAATGCAGTAGGAAAGTGATGGAGGCGAATGGCGATAGTCCACTTACCTGCTCTGCATCTCCGAGAGGGAAGCTCCGCTACCTGCTCCCACCGATCCTCCTCGAAATCGTAACACTCCACACTCCGAATGGCTTTGGGCGCTTGCCCGCCAACCACAATCATTACCTGGGAAGGATAAGCAAGAGAAGGGGAAACCCCTCGGTCAAGGGTTGTGTACACAGCAGGCTGCATCCTGTGAGCTGTATTGACAGCTGGGTGGCTGTTTATGGGGAGCAGAAGGAGGGGAGATTTTTCAAAAGCACAAAAGAGGTGGGCCTTTTGAGAGGACCCTAGAGGACCTATATGCCCAGGAGTACAGCTTATTACATGCTGTGTAGGGAGGAAACCTCCAAGCAAAGCAGGCATTTGTGCTTAGGATGACCTCAGTGAACCCTAAAACTCTGCAAGCAGCATTTCAGCTTGCTTCAGGGCGCTCCTTCTCACCAATGATCATTCTTCAAGCAACCTAACTGGGCCAGCAGAACTTCGACTGTCCAAATTCCTTTTCATTCTCTCCCCCCTACCCTACTACTGTCTCTGCCAGGTGGGATATGCTCTGGCTGATATCTCTATGCATCTTCTATGCCCTTTTCCTCACTTTAATGCAGGTCTCAAACTGATGTCCGGCGGGCCATCTACAGCCCAAGCAGTTCCACCATCAGGCCCATGTGTGGCTGCTGGCACGTGAGTCTCTTCGGCGGGCCATCTACAGCCCAAGCAGTTCCACCATCAGGCCCATGCATAGCTGCTGGCACGTGAGTCTCTGCAGCCCTGGAGGTAGAGGGGAGGATGTCCATACCCTTCCCCCAAGCCCAGGCTCTGCTCTGCCCCCACCCCACTGCGCCCTCTCCCCTTCCCTCAAGAGATGCTGCCTTGGCGATGATATTGGGGAGGGGAGGGCCTAGCATGGGGCAGCAGCAGAGTTCGGACCCCCTCCCACCACTACCAAACTCACTGCAGTGACAGGAGCCGTGGGGAAGGAGAACAACGCAGCAGCCTCTGCTCCGTTCCACTGCCATCTCCCAGGCTAAACACTAAATTCCACTACATCACCCAGAGGCAGCAGGCAGGGCCGGGGGATGCATAGGGACGGGGTGAGAGCGGGAAAGGGCCAGCAGGTGAGGCCAAGAGATGTGAGGGGGATATGTGGAGACACCCCCCATAACCTTACCAGAGTGGGGTGCCCACTGGCTCACAAGGAGGATTGCGGACTGGCACCAGCCCTAAGGTAAATTGAATTTGACACCCACTGCTCTAACGCAACCCCAATGTTTTCAAGTCCCCCCGATGCCTCCTGCTTGGCAGAAGACATGATTTTTGTGGGAGAGAGGGTGAAAGCGAGGTGCTCTCTTTCGGTTGGACTGGATCTCTGGGATGCATGCCCATACAACAGGTTAAACGCCACAGTTAGTCGCACTGCAGAACCATCCTGAAAGCAGCCTCTGTACCAGATAATCGGAAGGTAGCTAATGTAATGCCGATTTTTGAAAAGGGCTCCAGGGGAGATCCTGGTAAATACAGGTCAGTGAGCCTTGTGTGAGGCCGGGCAAATTGGCAGGATTATAGGACAGAAGAGAATGATCAGAGACACAGCTCAACAGTCTGAGGAAGAAGAGTCAGAACGGCTCATGTAGAAGGAAGTCACATGTCTATCCGAATTCTCTGAGGGTGGCGACAAGCATGAGAAGAAGGGCGATGAAGTCGATATAGTGGACTTTGAATTTCAGAAAGCCTTGACAAAGTCCTTCACCAAAGACTCTTACGGAAACTTACGTGGCCATCGGATAAGAGGGAGGGTCCTCTCGTGGATCAGTAACTGGTTGAAAGTTGGGATGTAAAATCCCATTTAATTGGTTAACCAGTTAAACAGAATGTTTAATTGGTTACTGATTAAAGGATCGGGGTCAGGGAAAGCTGTTTCAGCCTGAAGTGGCCCTCCTACCTGCTGGGCTGGGCTGTAGGGGCCGCTCTGGCCAGGCCAGAATGCCCTTGCTGCCCAGGCCTGTTGTGGAGAGAGGCTGTTCTGGCTGAGCTGGAGTGCACAGTAGGCCCTGCAGGGCTGGAGTAACCCCCTGCCCATGATGGTCAGAGAGCTGCTTCAGCCTCAAGCCCTGTCCCGTCCCCTTGTTAACCAATTAACCATTCACCTCCCTAGTTGAAAAATAGAAAACAAGAGTATGAACAAATAAAAAAGACAGTGTTCACATTGGACAGCCCTGAACAGCAGGGCCCCCTCGGGATCTGTATGGAGACTTGTGCTGTTCAATACAGTTGTTAATGATCTGGAAAGAAAGTAAGGAGTGAAGAGGCAAAATCTGCAGACAATACAAAATGATCCGTGATAATTAACTTCAAAGCAGATGGAGGAGTTAGAAAATTCTCTCAAAACTGGGAGACTGGGCAACAAAATAGTAGATGAAATTCAGCACTGATAAGTGCAAAGTAACATGCAATGGAAAACACAATCCCAACTATCCATATATAATGATTAAGAGTATGTTATAGTCATAGTTATTTTTAGTAAAAGTCATGGACAGGTCACAAGCGGTAAACAAAAATTCACAGCCCAGGACCTGTCCATGACTTTTACTATGTACTACTGACTAAAACTTGGGGGAGGCGGACGTGTCAGAGCACTGCGAGCGCTTGGAGGGAAGACAGCGAGTGTTTGAGGGGGGGATGGGGAGGCCGGAAAGAATGACAGGGAGGGAGCAGGCTCCCTACCACTCCTAGGAAGCGGTGACATGTGCCTCCAGCTACTAGCTCAATGTGCTGCCTCTGCTCCACGTGCCAGCTCTGAAGTTCCCATTAGCTGGGAACCATGGCCAATGGGAAGTGAGGCAGCAGTGCCTGCAGGTTAACTTATGCGCTTGGGATCACGGTTACATGCAGGGAGCCAACTTTTAAGCCTGCTTCCTGTGCATGCTGGCTCCCGCAGAGCCACCTGCCCCCACATTCTAACCTCTCTAATGGAGACAGGAGCTGAGGGAGAGAGTCCATGTTGCCCTTCCAGGGAGGCCCCCAGGTAAGCACCACCCCACACCTCAATGCTTAACCCTTAGCCCCTCCCACACACCCCTAAACTCTTGCTGCTGGGAGGAGGAGGGGAGGAGGGGAAAGGGAGGCACTGCTGCAGAAATCAGAGGTCACAGAAAGTCACAGAATTCATGACCTCAGTAGCAAACACGGAGTCTTAATAAGGATGGGTTCTAAATGAGCTGTTACAGAATAAATGTGTTGTAGTCACCATGGACAGTTCTTTGAAAACTGCTCAACGGGCAGCAGCAGCCAAAAGGTTAATAATTCCTAATATACTGCTAGGAAAGGTATAAAAATCAGAAAACATCTTAATGAAACTGTATGAAACAGACAGTATTCAAGGTGTGAGTGCGCTAAGTACAGTTCTGGTCATCGCACCTTCAAAAAGGATGGAAAACATTCAGAAAAGGCAATCAAGATGACCAATGGTATGAAAGTTTCCATAAGAGGACAGACTAAAAATTAAGGCTGTTCATCTTAGGAAAGAGACAACTAGGAAAATATGATAAAGGTCTATAACATCATGAATAATATCAGAGGGGTTGCCGTGTTAGTCTGGATCTGCAAAAGCGACAGGGAGTCCTGTGGCGCCTTATAGACTAACAGATGTATTGGAGCATAAGCTTTCGTGGGCAAAGACCCACTTCGTCATATGTTGCAAAGGTGCCACAGGACTCCTTGTCGATCATGAATAGTGTGGCAAAAAATGAATAGAGCAGTGTTATTTACCCTCACACACAATACACTAATCCAGGGCCACCCAATTAAATTAACAGGAAGCAAGATGAAGGATACAAACAAGAGGAAGAACTTTTATTACACAACTGACTTGTGGAACTCATTGGCATGGATGTTGAACTGTGTTCAAAAAAGAACTGGATAAATTCACAGAGGACAGACCCATCAGCAGTTATTAGCCAAGACAGTCAGGAATATAATCCCATACTTGGGGCAACCCTAAACTCCGGCTACCAGAAGCTGAGAATGGAAGATGGATAGATCACCCCATAACTACTCTGTTCTGTACATCCCGCTGAAGCTCTGGTGTGGCCTATTGTCAAAGAAAGGATAGTGGGCAAGATGGACCATCATCTAACCCAACATGGCAGCTCTTATATTCTTATGCAATAGGGCTTGCCCCCTAAACTCTCTCCTCAAAATGTTTTTCCTACTGGAGCAGAAGCGTTCTTAAGGGACGTAGAGATTCAGGGAGAGCCACCCCCCAACTTGCACCCCACCCAGGAAAGGATACCAACGGGAATGGAAAAGACTGGCTTCAAGGGAGGAAACATATATCTGAAGATTAATCAGACATACTCCAGGTTGGACCATCTGTGCCCCAGGACTCATCAGAGAAAATTCTATTCAGATTCTTTTTCTAAATTTATCCCCACTTAGGCCCAGCCACAGTAGCCCTGCTCCATCCAGCAGCCCATCCCCCATTCATTGCACATGTGCTTGGTCACATTTACCTTTGTAACCCAGCATTAGCAGGTCTCATCCCACCCCAGATTCCAACAAGGCACCAGCCCTCAGGGCTGTTTCAGCGGCTCGGCCACCACTTATTTGCTATGTTCATAGACGTGCTGACAAAAGTGGATGCTGCTAAGTGAAGCAATTCTGCTGGAGCGCCACCCATGCTGGAAACTACTCCCCTATAAAGCACAGTGTCTGTGTAAGCAGTTAGAGCTGTGGTGTCTAACATGCTAGCCACTAGCCACATGTGGCTATTTGGTCAGTTGAGTGTGGCTGGGTGGCTCACAAAATGATTTACATTTTCAGAATAACATGGCTAGTTTGCTATAGCAGTCGCCAATATAGCAGCTACTGCTTCAGAAGTGGTTGGACACCACGGAGTTAGAATATTAGGGCTGCCTGTGTATTGCACAGAGAGGCCTTTGTCAGCTTCCTAAGGTCTCTGATGCCACACATGCAAAGACACAAATCCAAAGCATTTTAAACTCTAAATTGCTTCCAATCAGGAGACCTTAGTAAACTTGATTTTGATCAAAATGAATGTATTTTCTGATGCTCCCCTCTGTCCCCCATCTAGAAATGTATTCCCTATGACTTCTGCATTTGGAAACAAAGGTACATTCCCAAGAAGTACTCTGCTTTTGATGGCTACCCATAGCAACCAAGCTTCAGTAGAACCCATGCAGATTTTTTAAACTGGCTGGCTTCTTCATCAAGAAAGCAGTTTGCTTGGTGTATTGCTCTGAATACATGGCTTCTTATTCTCTATAGCTAGCGACAGATTTATCCCTCTTATCACAGGACAGCATGCTAGCAGGAGGGAGCATTACACCAGACAACCATATTTTTAGAAGGCTGAGGAGTTGGCACCGAGATAATGAGCCTTGGAACATGCAAACAGCTTGCTAGGGGGAAAGAAATATAAAGCCCTGATCTCAGTATCTTAGAAACAACAATGTAGCCTAGTATGTTAAGGTCCTGAGTTCAAGTCCCAGAAGGGTTGGGGTGAAATGGGATGTATAGATAATCTAGAACAGTGGTGAGCAACTGTGGCCCATGGTCAGATGCAGCCCATCAGGTTTCTACGTGTGGTCCACGAGACATTTTGATTACTGTTGCCCATGCTGCAGCGTTGCCAGATTCTGCTGGTTTTCATCCACAAGTTTTTTTCCTACTGGTATTACTAAAGTAACACGCACTTAAAGCAAGGGCACGTGAACTGAGGTACGTGCTGATTGCACAAAACAATCACTGTGAAGAGTCGTGCGCTCCCTCTGCATCCAATCAAAGTGCTGCTACGGTTCAATCGGCACAACCTGCAAATTCTTGCTACACAAGTGCAGTTAACAAACTACCCTATCCTAGGAGAACACCTTGGTTATGACAATCCCACGGCTCACAGAGACGGAGGACCACTCGTGTGGCCCACTCACTGGCATAGGTTGCCCATCGCTGGTCTAGACGTAGTTACAGGGCATAAAAAAACAAGGAAAACTGCTGAATGTAGAAGTATTAGCATGAGACTGAGGTGGCAAGGTAGAAAGTTATCAGGAAACATTCCCTAGCAAGGGTGACCTACTTATTGTGGAGTAGGCTCCCAAGGAAAAAGGAGGAAAACCAAGGAGCTTAAGACATATAAAACAAGGAGATGGCAGAGCAGTGGAGATTATGCAGCAAAAAAACAACCCCACATTACTAGGAGCAATAGACAAGACCATGGTTTCTCAATGAAGGAAGTCCACCTGGATCGCAACCTCCCTCCCTTTCTTTACAGCTGGGTGGAAGGTAAATATGGGGTGGGATAGCTCGGCTAGTAGGTCTTTCTTTTGTACTTTGGCGTCATGATATAGAAAATGTTGAGAATCTGTTTTAACTTGTTGACCTCACATTTTTTCCACCTCTCCTTTCTACAGTTATAGGATTCAGACACCCTGTTCGTAAAGGACAAAGACAAATTTATTATGACAATCCAAAAGGCAGATTTTGTAGATTAATTCTGATTAAGAGTCACAATATGTAGGCAAATACAATGCACCTTCTGTAGAACAGCAAATTAACTATATCCAGCAAATCAGTATCTGAGTACTGTTTCCTAAAATAAAACTGGAACACAGACTCTAAAAAAATCTAGCTTCCTGTGGCTTATACCTGGAAGAATATGCATGTGACGCGACATCTTACAGTCTGACATTTGCATTAATAACTTCAATGACAGTTTTCTGTGCAACATCACGGCAAACCGCCTGTGTGCTTTGGGGATGGGGTAGCATTTTCCTTCACCTTTTTCTCATTAACAAAGCTCCATAGCAATACAGGGAATCTCAGAGGTTTTTTTTTTATTATTATGCCACATCTATTTTTAGTAGCTGCTCAGAATGTGCTATGAACCGGTTTTCAGATAAGGGTTTTTTAGGATATATCAGGCTCTGCCTCCAATATGCAGATGAGCTCATGAGAGCTAAAAACACCATAGCTCTTGCCAACTGTACAATACCCATGCTGCTTCACTCAGCAGAAATCACAGACAATGCTCCGAGCACCATAAACCCCTGTCTAGGGATGCAAGAGGTTAACTGGTTACCCAGTAAGCAGTCGGCTTATCAGCTTGCTTACGTGGTAACTAATTAACCAACGTGGTTGGATCAGCCACCTGCCTGTGGCTGTGGCAGACTGGATCAGCCCTCCACCTGCAGCACAGTGCTTAACTGATTAAATAATATAACTGTAATAATTTAACCAATTAACTATTTTAAGGGGTAAGGATGTAAAAACCCAATTAGCCCATGCACCAGCAGTTCTCAAGTACAGTCCTGAGCAGTGATCCCTCTAATCTTTTCCACTCATGTGCAGAACTTTTCCATCTATGTGCAGAAAAAAATTTGTTATGTGCAACAAGGCATGTGTGAATTTGCACTAACCTAGTTGTGGACACTCTGCTAATCAACTGGATGGCATTGGAATCTCTCCTGAGCAGCTGCACTAGCACCCAGCTTACAGGGAACAGTGGTCCGAGGTCATCAGTAGCCCTTACAACACTTCAGCTGGTCCCAAATGAAATATTTCAAACAGTGAGAAATTGGAACATAACTACCACCATATTGGGTCAGACCAAGCTATTCCAGTATCATGTCCCTGATACTATTGGAGGGTATAACAGGAAGGTGCAAAAACAACCCATCCCATGTAGTGAACTACTATGGAATTACCTGCCCATCAAGGAAGTTTTTTCATAACATCAGTTACGACTGGATCATGCTTCGATGCAGGTGGTTTTTAGCTTTTCTAAAAAACAGCTGGCCTACCTTAATGGAACTGCTGATGCTCTCCTTATGCATGTGAGTGTCTAACCCTATTTTCAAATGGTCAATTAAACCCTGATCTGATATTCCCCGGATAAATGCTAGCACTATTTCAGAAGACAGACAGAATATTTGCTACCCTAGAGGCTTCCAGGGTAGTAGTCAATTTTAGAGAGACAGCAAGGCAGATTCTTATTCATGTTCTGTTCAGGAAACACGAAAAGGAGCAGAAACCTGCACAAGATATGTGACTAGGCATTCCCCTGACATGGGGGGAATCTCCAGCAAGCATACTATTGTAAGGCTGACTTCAGCAAGGTTTAGATCAAGTACTATCAGAGACACTGAAGTGCAACAGAATGAGGGATCAATAGGATGAAGTCTATTTAGGATGTGTCTACACAGCACAGCTTTACTCAAACTATGGAAATTGAGCTACATCAATTGCGTAGCTTGTTTCAAAATAGTGAGTGTCTACACAGCACTTATTTCAAAATAGAGCACCCTTCCTCTGACTTGCCTTACTCCTCGTACAATGAGGATTACAGGAGTCAGAGTAAGAAGTCCTCTTGCTTGACAGTATTTCAACATTATTTTGAAATAACTGTGTGCTGGGGAGACGCGGACTAAATTACTTGGAAATAACACTAGTTATTTTGAAATAACATTGCTGTGTAGACGTACCGTTAGAGAACAAGCTCTAGTCATTCAAAGGTGAATGGTGCCTCTAATGATGCAATATCAAAACCATTACCAAAAAAAAAAAAAGGCTTACATTTTCCCCTTCCAAGTTTCTCTATTTAGGAAGATAAGTTAGCTTACCTTTGGCAGGCTAACTGGAGTCCTTGGCTTTGTCCTAGGATTTTTTATCAACTGCCTTTGATCCAGAGGAAGCAAGTGATATTTCATGGCCTCAATAAGGAAATCTTTACACGTGTTGTTATTCTTGATTAAAGCTTCTTCTTCAACTGTCTGGGAATGCCAATAAAAAAGTTTTTATTGATGTATTTCACCAGGAAGTTTTCAGAGAAAATACAGTAACAAGATTGGTTGGGCTTTTTTTTTTTAATAATTTTTGTAAAAAGCACAGCAGGGAGAAAGACAGAATGGCAGCAACATTAGTGGGCAGAATTCTGAGTCTTCAGTAAGGACTTGCCAAGTCCCACTATTTATTTCCAAGTTCATTCTCATTCTTACCAACTCATCTATTTATGCAGGCCTTGCTGTTCCGAAGTCATAACTGTGTCTACACAATGAGGGTTCCTTTCATTCTCATAGTGGAAGCTAAAGTGGAAGCAGAAGGGCACTGATTTTTCCGGAATGAAGAGGAGACACACTGTGTCCAGTTCAAACACAAGAATTAGCTGGGAACGATGGAGCCGTGCATCCAAGCCATGTGCCCTTAATTACTCTGCCCTCACTCATATGCCCAAAGACCAGACCTGCATACATAGGGAGGTTTAGAGGATCAGGGATACCTAGTTTTATGTCAAAAAGCCTAACGCATAGCAACTATAACTTGCATTATTGCTACACCTTCTTGATACCAGCCCTATCCCCCTGCCAAGCAGTAAGAGACCTCTGGAGCCTTGCAGATCAGCTTTTCAGTGAAGAAGAATTCAGTGGTGTAGTCTGGCTCCATCCTAAATTTAACTTATTTAGACAGATACACCAGTCCTAGTACAGAGGTGGTCCAACAGCATGCAAGGTGATCCCCACCTCAGAAAACCCATCCCAGTGCAAGTACCTAATAGCTCTGTGTAAAGTAGCATGCTAAAAATAGAGAATCACCACAGAACCACGAGTCTTCGCTGCCGAGTACCTGCTATGATGTCAAACAGGTGCATACCTGGAACAGGTGGCCTTTCCCACCACTCATAACACTTCATTTAAACTATTTTTAGCATGCTAGCTCGATCAGAACGAGCCTGGGAATGTCTCCTCGAGCTGGGAATCACAACCCCAGCTTGAAGTGTAGACATAACCTAAGAAAAAATACTTTGAAGTGCAAGCATAAAAGCCTACTGGTGACACCTAATACAACATCATTTTTTAATTCTGTATGGTTTTGAAGTATATATATATTCTCAAAAGCCTCCACCTAGATTTTGCAGGAATCTCATGTGCATGACTCCTCTTCAGAATCAGGCCCTTAATTTAACCAGCTAGCAAAACAGGTAAGCGAATGCCTTTAAAAAAAATCCCTATTTCTATGTTTGTGCAGTTTGGGGATGCACATCACTGCCTTTGGCACTGCTTAGTAGAAAAAAGATAATTTTTAGGAAGAGAAAGGTTTTTCCAGTGCTTGAATTATCATTTGCTCCCACTCACTTTGAAGGCGCATCCACTATGTAACGACTCTGATCGTCAGCCCACAGACTAAGATAAATGCCAAACCACCCACAACAGAAGCTCTCAGAAGTTGAGAGTATACTCAGTTTTAATGTGAGGATTTTTTTAAAATGCACTAACCTGTACAAGATAATCTCTGGGCAGAAGGGGCAGACGAACATGCTCCATCAGTTTTGCCATGTGTTCTAGGCGAGACTCTTTCTCATAATTTATCCAAGATATAACAGCCTCAAAGACCTACACAGAGAGTGTACAATTACCTTATAGAAAAGAGAACCTGCCTCTTAGTAATTACCAAAGCCAGAGGCTTAGTGGTCTAAGCATCAGGTCAGCAGTATCTAAAGCAGTGTTTCCCAATCAGGGTTCCGCAGAACCCTGGGGTTCTGCAGACCATCGTCAGGGGTTCCACGAGAAATCGTGGAATAAATTTTAAAAAAATGTCTTACAATGTAAGCTGACACACACACACACACACACACCACACACACACACACAACTAAAACAGCTCTTTACAAATACATTTTCTTGACAATAATTAAGCAGTAATTGACTTGCGCTCCCCCCTTTCAACTTTTTCTGACCAAGCAAATGTTTTCATAGATAGGGGTTCCTCGGGATATAAAAAATTATTTTAGGGGTTCCTCCATCGAAAAAAGGTTGGGAATCACTGATCTAAAGAAAGAGATGGGGGGAAAATGCACCAGAGGCAATAACTCTAGTAGGTAATGGTGCCGATAGATATAGAGGCACGATGCTCCCTATATTCAGAGCACAAACACCATTCCCCAAGCACCGAGTGTCAAGAGAACAGGGCTGCACACTTTGATAAATCCTCTGTTTCATCCTTAGATGATCCACGACACTCTCAAAGTGAAGCAGGTCACCCAGACCAACATGCCCCTCTTGTTACATTAGGTACCGGAATGAAGACAAACCCTAATTCATTTTTTGGCATTCTGCTGGACATTATTTGTAAAAAATATCACAAGGATTTATTTGCAATACGTGAACAATCAGGCAGATCCGTTTCACATATGTTTTGGGATCACATGCTAATTCAGTGAATAAGACCAGATTTAAATCCCTTCACCACCCCCTTCTAATATCTGAACAACTAAGAACATGCTCATACAGGAGGTCCCTGGCTTGTGACGCAGTCGGTTCCGGAGGAAGCGTCGCAAGTCGGAGGCATCGTAACTCGAACCCTCATTTACGATAGGCACCATGCATCATCGGAACTCGGGCCATCGCAAGTCTGGGGCCTCCTGTATGTGCAGTGAAATCCCCTCTTATTTTGATTGTTGTTCCACTTCTTAAAATTTCACCCTCCTTGGCATGCTGCAGGCAAGGGGCTGCTCCAGCCGGGCCAGGCCTCCTGTACAGCAGGCTGCTCCGGCCAGGCTGCACCGAGCCCACTGCGCTGGCTGGACAGTGCCCACACCTACACCGCGGGCAGGAGGCTGCTCTAGCGCAGTTGCCCTGGAGTGTCCCCAGCCCATGCACGGTTGGCCCGGCCGGGCCAGAGCAGGGCTGAGTCTGCCGCACTGCACTCCCCACTGCTTAACCAGTAAGGAAAATGCTTACTAGGTTACCACTTAACTCTTTACATCCCTAGTCCAAAACCCCAACTTCTTTTATTTCAAAAGCTGTCCGTTTCCACAATTCTGCAGAATGATCATTTTTACCAGGTCCCAATCCATTTTTGTATCAGTGCACACTTCACTCACTGTCTACTCTAGGGCATAACACAGCCTTCCCCACAGAATCTGAATGGCCACCACCCTTCCATTGCTCACAAAGCCCCTGTGATTTTGAGACAGAACTTTCCAGCTGGACACCATGGAGAACCCTAGATGTGAGGAAGCCAACCTCTTAGAAGGGGGCAATTTCCTCCCTTCAGTTCAGTGAAAGCCACCTACCCAAACAAAAGCACAGCCCACAAGTTCAAGATCAAGTGCAGGAAGATACTGCAACGGCCCCAAAAGCTTTTAGACAAGGTTGGCATATCACCTCTGTGCACGCTACCTAGGAGAAGACAGAGTGGGACTTGGTGTTTTCTCACAACGAAATCTCTGGTGACCCCAAATTCTAAGGGCAAGGTCTGGGCTTGCAATCCGGGGTTAACTGATCGATTATAAGCAAATCTTAGCCCGAGACAAGAGACTGGCGTTCAATCCCCCCCGTTCTGAGAGCACGCAAGCTGCCCAGCCCAGGTCTAGGGATAGGACAGGCTTTATTGCTCTGCAAGTTGCAGCTCCCATTGGCCTGCTCCTGGCCAACAGGAGCTGTGAGGACAGCGCTGGGGGGATCGCATGGAGACATGCTGTCCCTCTCCCCGCAAGAGGAGCACGGAGACAAGCCTGCAGCTGGATCAGGGGTGGGAAATAATTGTAAAGGGGGGGCAACTTCAAAAATTTTTGAATTGGCCCTGAGCTGCCCCGGAAGAGGCGGGGTCTCCAGCGGAAGGGGCAGGGCCAATACACTTCCAGTGCTCCCTCACCCACAGACCCTAGGCGTGGCCTGGAGTCATGAAAGGCAGGCAGCCGGTCTGAGCCCTGCTGCTCTGCCAGCCAGGAGCCAGCTCAGCGTCTCATGGCCAGAGTCTGCACCTCACCCCTGTTCTAGCCCTGACCCCACCCTCCCTGAGCCAGCACCCCACCACCCCTCCTGCACCCTAACACTCTGCCCCTGCCTGCAGCTCCCTTCTGCACCCGAACTAGGGATGCAAATACCCATTAAAAATGTTAACCAGGTAACAATATAATTGTAATTGTTTAACTGGTTAACTGAGGGCTGGTGCAAAGCCGCTGGGACCCCGCAGCAGGGGCTGGGCCCGGCCGGGGGCCCCCCCAGCCACGGGCCCGCCCGCCAGCCCCCAG